GGGCATGAGAGAAGGCTTCATGGAAGAATTATTTGTATTAGAAGTTCTCATCTTTTGCTGGCTCGCAGGCAGAGGTGGTGAGCAGGACCCTGGCCTGGGGTCCGAGGACAGGCTCTGCCCTTCCTGGCTGTGGCACCTGGGACAACTTGCTCAGTCCCTTGAACCTTGGTTTCCTCACATGTGCAAAGCAGCGTGACAAAGTGGGGATGAGCATGGTCTCTGGATTCAAATTCGGCCATCTTGGCTGTTTGCCTGTGAGCAGGTCACTTTAGGGAGCTGAGTCTCAGTTTCTGTATCTGCAAAATGGGGTAGTAATAGTATATTCTGCGAAGCGTTGTTGTGAGGCTCGAATAAGGTAATCAATGCAGAACATTTAGGACAGTGCCTGGCACACAGCATGCTCTCTATGTGCGGCTGTTCTGTAGGTGGTGTTAATGGGGAGGGTATTACTCGGTGTGTGGTTTAGATCAGGGATGGGGAGATCAAAGCCTGGTCGCAATTGTTTTCCTTGTCACTATTCGTCAGGTGAGTATTGAATTATGGGTGAAGAGGAGGGTCTCCCAGGGAGTGAACGGTGTAAGCAAAGACAGGAAGCAGGAGAAAGAACACAAAATTTAGTTTGGATCCTTAGGAGATCTAGGATGTAGTTCTGCTGGGTTCTCAGCTTCCTGTGGACTCTTCGAATCCACTATAAAGGGCAATTTCCACCAGCAAATCTTCATGGCTTTCGTTTGCATCTTTTCTGGATACAGGTCTCCAAGAGCATCTGCTCCCTGTCTCCCCAAGGATGGGTCTCCGGGGGATGTTCTGCTTCCCCCTGGGGCTCCTCTTTGGCTCTGTGCTTTTGGTGGCCTCAGCCCCGGCCACCCTCGAGCCTCAGGGCTGCAGCGACAAGGAGCCGCAGGTTACTGTCAGCCACACCTACAAGATTGATGTGCCCAAGTCCGCTCTGGTCCAGGTCGAGACTGACCCCCAGCCCCTTAGTGACGATGGAGACTCGCTCCTGGCCTCAGGGGAGGCCGAGGAACAGAACATCATCTTCAGGCACAACATCCGCCTGCAGACGCCACAGAAGGACTGTGAGCTGGCAGGCAGCGTCCAAGCCCTCCTGGCCCGAGTGAAGAAGCTGGAGGAAGAGATGGCGGAGGTGAAGGAGCGGTGTGATGTTCAGCGCTGCTGCCAAGGAGTTGCCGGTGAGCTTTTACCATCTGGTATTCATTCAACAAACAACTAACGGGCGCCTTCCACATGCCAGGTGTCTTGTGGGGGTCTGGTGTGCTCCCACCTCCCTCTGGGTTTTCTGAGGGTGGGGTGGGGGTCTCATCTTCGACACTAGCTCCAGGAAGCATCTGCAAGCCTCAGTAGAGAGGGTCCAGCAACTCTTTGTAGAAAAAATCTTTAACGTTTATTCATTTCTGAGAGACAGAGTGTGAGCGGGGGAGGGGCAGAGAGAGAGGGAGACCCAGCATCTGAAGCAGGCTCCAGGCTCAGAGCTGCCAGCACAGAGCCCGACGAGGGGCTTGAACCCACGAACTGTGAGATTATGACCCAAGCCAAAGTCACTCCCTTAACCAACTGAGCTACCCAAGTGCTGAGGGACCGGCAACCCTGAAAGGGAGTCTGGACTCCTGAGTTTACACTTCTGGGTGCTGTTTGACCTG